CTTTCCGCCCGTAGCAACAGATTGCATTATCCCCTGAAGCGTCTTTGAGACATGGTTGGAAGACCGAGTCACATTTCCCCCTGACTGAGAGATGTTACCAGGCGGCAGTGAGGCAGCGGGGGACGGCTGTACCTTGCCGTTATTGGTAGCGCCTCCAACATTGTCATCATCATCATAATCATCATCGTCATCATTATCAGCATCATCATCATCATCATCGTCCCCGTGTCCTGACAAGCCACCCTGCTGTCCGCCGGAGACCCCCGCGGCTGCGCCCTCGTCAGTCGGAGTCGCCGGCCGACCAGTGACCTGGTCACGGCTCCAACCGTGCTCCGGTGCCCGGGGGCCTTCTGAGGAGGAGACTGTAACATTCTGTGACGGTTCCAGCTGAGGGCTGCTCTCAGACGAGTCTGTGGACTGAGCTGAGGCACCACGCTGAGGCTTGCTGTCGGGTTTCTCTGGTTCACCTCCACTGACGTCTATCTCATCAGAGTCTGACTGAGTTTTGTTCTCATCTGACTTCTCTTCAGGTAAGATAACGTCTGACTTCCCCGACTGCGCCTTGCTGACTTCTGGCCTTTCTGCGTCACCTCTGGTAGCTGACACATTTGTATGTAGATCACTGTCGTCTGATCCCTTTAGATGCACGATATTGTCTTTGCTCTCTCCCGTTTCGGCCCTGCTGTCGCTGGACTTTATCGGCCGATCAGCTAAGGTCGGCGTATCGTCTCTGTCGGTCTCCCCTCTCCTGTCTCCTAGCTCTCCGCCTTCCACTGCGGCTTTGTGACGGTTCCGCTCCCCATCCTCGACCTCCCCCAGATGGTCGGGATGCAGTAACACGTCAATGGGCTGCTGAAGACGGAGGACGGTGCTGTCCTGAGCGGCCCACTGGAGTGGCGAGACGCCGGCGGTGGCCACCGCCGGTCGCTCCAGCTCCGACTCCAGCTCCAGCTCCAGCTCCGACTCCCGCAGGAGGTCGGTGTCCGGCGGCGGCTGCTGCGGCACCCAGGCGGGCTCGTCGGGCAGCAGCGGCACCCAGGCCGTCCCGGCGCCGCCGCCGGCGGCCGGCTGTTCCAGCTCTCCGTCCAGCTCCTCTGCCAGCGTCAGGCCGCCGCCCATCAGGTGCAGGCCGACCACGGCGCCCACGCTGCCCACGATCTCCAGCACGATGATGGCCGAGGCGATGACCAGGCAGCCGGTGCGCAGGTCCAGACAGCCACAGCAGGAGGCCGGCCAGCGGCCGCCGACCGGGCGACCCAGCGGCGCCGGCATCCGGACGGCTGGTCAAGGTATGACGTCACGTGGGGGACGGCTGGAGTAGTATGACGTCACTCAGGAGGGACGGTGGACGCACCTGGCCCCACGCAGGTGGGACGGTTCGATAATCACTCGAGGGAACGTCTCGTAAAGCTGACGCTGCTCGGTAGAGGTGGCTGCTCAGAACGGCCCGGCTGGGGACTGCTGATAGGGAGAATTCCTTCTCGTATACAGCTCAGTTCCTGGGATGTTCAGTTTCAATCAGCGATCACTCATGTCGTTTAATGATGTGTCGATCACACCGCGCATGTCGGCGACGTTTACTGGGTATCACAACCGGCGAAAATATCGGCTCATACATTCGGGGCAGCGATGAAGAGTCACGCGTCTCTCCCATTGATTCGCATGTCCAGAAGAGGTTCAATCACATATCGCAGCGAAAGATTGCGCTGGTTGCTGCCAGCATGAAATACACACTGTCACTGAGTGTCATCCACCGTCACTGATCAATGCACTGCTCTCGGTAGAGCGCTTTTCTCGTAACTACCACATAATCAAAGATGCTTTCCGTATAAAGTTTATGAGCCTCGTGTCACACTAAATCACAGGCGACCAGGAATGTCCAGCCGCGTCCCACACCTGGTCCACTCGGCGTCCACAGCGCGTTCCCCTGTCCAGTGCGGTCGGCGCGCCGCGGTCTCACCAACTGCGGCCCGGCCAGCCGCAGCACCGGCCGGCCGCCGGACCCTGCAGCTGCCATGGCGTCCCCTCCACCCCGGAGTCACGGACCGACCCGTCACGACGCAGCTCGTTGCCCGTCACGGTCGTGACGTGACCCTGAGAGCGTTACGCGCACGTGCCACTGGGCCGTCGGGTCGGGTGCCGTCAGCGTGTAGCAATTAGTGCCTGCCGGCTGCCAAGGCCGGACAGCAGAGCGGCCCAGGGGCTGACCTTGCAGCGGCGCCAGGCGGCTGATTTGACAAATTCGACAGCGGGATAAATAGACCGCGTGATAGTCCAGGGGCGGCAGCAGGAAGCGAAGTGGGCCCTGACATTATGGATGGGTAATAACTTAGCGACAGCAAGGACACCACATACGGTGGTTGGTTAACCCTCGCCCGCACATGGGGGGGGGGGGTGGTTGCCACCCCCCCCAGGTAGTCTTTCTGCTCTGCACTCAACATTTTTAGAGCTAGAAGGCTGATTTTTCGTATAGCTGCTCCTCTATCCTTTCTTGATGTCCACTGAAAATTTCAAGTTTCTGTGATTTTTGGTTTCGGAGATATGACCTTGTTTTTCAGGTCATGTCATGACCCAAATGGCCAATTCTCAACATCTTGCGTTTGCCATGGGCCTTATGAGCTTTTGACACCCTGATTTCGGCCTTTTTTTGCCAGTCTTACCTCCCACCTATCATGGAACATGTCGTTCGACGATGTACAGGGGTCAAGGTCAGGGTCAAGGTCAACCTAGGTCATCTAAGATAATTGCGTTTTAGGCAAGCTGAATTTACTTTTTTTGAAGTTTTTTGACTGCATTTTTGGTAAAAGCTTCTCAGATCATGATTTCATGTAATATGGACCCAAAAACAATCGGTGCACACATCAGTATACACACAGACACACACAGACATACAAACACATATAATTGACCTTGACCTAACTTGACCTGACATGACCTCAGCAGCAAAAATATGGTCGGGTAGTGTGACAAAGAGGTTCTAGCTGACTTGGCACCAGAAAACAGCATCGTCATCGGTATTTGCTAAGCAGCACACTTGATATCCAACGGTGACCCAAAACAGCAACATTTTTTAGTTTGACCTGACCTGGAAGGTCAATGACTGACCTGAGAAGGTAAAACTGGGTATCATTGGATTCGTCTCTTCCCAAAGAGTCTTTTTGGTCTTTACTGCTAAGCTCTATCTCCAACAGGAGCGAAATGGCGCGGGGGGGGTGGCAACCACCCCCCCCCCCCCCATGTGCGTTCTAGGATGGGAAAATGGCATGTGCGGGCGAGGGTTAAACTGTTAAATACATGCGCTCGCTATGGATATAAAGGGAGATAATCAGACATCACATTTAAATGTTTCACCAAAAGTTGGTCGCTGGATCACTATGCCTATGTATATAGGCAGCAACATGCAGTGCATGACTCAGGCAAAATACTACCTACTTTTACTTTCTTTAAACGGGCACTAAATGCCATCCCTGTCACTTTTCAATTTCAACATTAACCATGGGCTCATTCAATGCAGCTCCATTCTGGATCGTATAAAAAAAAAACACCCGGGTCAAACTAGACTGCGTGCTTTCGAGAGAAGCTTTCAACTTGTGCACAAGCATGCAGTAGCCGTGTAACGAAATATCTGTGAGAACAATGAGTTGAACTGATTATTGTTCACTGAGGAAATGATTCAGAAGGCTGCCCCACAAAGCAGAGTTTCGTACAAAACGGCTGATAAGGTGCAGACAGGGGTTTACTGCACATGCCGAGCCACTGTCCCCCGGTTACATGACCAATGACCATGGTGTCCGTGCCCTGATCACGTTGAGTCCCTTCCAGCTGCCAATGTCAGCCGGCAGGCCGGGCTGTCATGTCTGTTACTGGCAGAGTGCACCTGTCATGTCCGAGATCTGCTGTCTCCGCGGCCCAGAGAGCTGACGGAGCAGCCCAGCCGTGTGTGACGAGGTGTGACCGCCATCGCCGCTTACCGCAGCCGCGCCCACTGACCGACAAATGTCCAGCAGTAAACGGGACTGTCCCCCAGGGACACTGCCCGACGAACGTCCAGCAGTAAACGGACCGGTCCCTCGGATACTGCCCGACGAATGTCCAGCAGTAAACGGACCGGTCCCTCAGGGACATAACCTGACAAACGTCCAGTAGTAAACGGGACGGTCCCTCACGGACACTGCCCGACAAATGTCCAGCTGTATACGGACCGGTCCCTCTGCCCGACAAACGTCCAGCAGTAAACGGACCGGTCCCCCAGGGACACTGCCCGACAATTTCCAGCAGTAAGCGGACCGGTCCCTCAGGGACACTGCCCGACAAATGTCCAGCAGTGAACGGACCTGTCCCTCAGGGACACTGCCCGACAAGCGTCCAGCAGTAAACGGACCGGTCCCTCAGGGACGCTGCCCGACAATTGCCAGCAGTAAACGGACCTGTCCCTCAGGGACACTGTCCGACAAACGTCCAGCAGTAAACGGACCGGTCCCTCAGGGACACTGCCCGACGAATGTCCAGCAGTATACGGACCGGTCCCTCTGCCCGACAAACGTCCAGCAGTAAACGGACCGGGCCCTCAGGGACACTGCCCGGCAAATTTCCAGCAGTAAACGGACCTTCCTCTCAGGAACATTGCCCGACAAATGTCCAGCAGTAAACGGGCCGGTCCCTGATGGACACTACCCGACAAATGTCCAGCAGTAAACGGACCGGTCTCTCGTTTACACAAACGACACCGGGAGTCCCAGAGAGTGCTCTTTCTTATGAAGAGAGAAGAATGGAGTGAGATCGAATTTCGACCATTAGCTAAATTGGGCCAGGAAAACAGTTCTTTTATTCTTTCAACACACCACCCCGCAGGTATCAAACAAGTGTACTTTCACCTGCACCCGACTGAGTTATTGCTCAGGGGGAAAATGTACAATCTATTGCGCGTGACTAGAGGCGCATCCAAGTTTTTATGGTTTTTATCCTAATTCGTTTTTATCGTTTTTATCGCTTTTATTGCGTTTGTATAAAACTGAATATGGATGTCCATAACAGCGTAGTCCGTAACGGGTTCGTAAAACTTTTTCATAAAATCAGTTAGGGAACCACATCAAAAGTTCATACAAAAGGTCATAACACAATCTCAATTTCTACCATAATTGTTGTTTTGTTTCTATGTCACGTGTTGGCATTATCACATCACTTCATAATGTCGCAATGCCGACTCCACGCAACTGTATCGTTTTGTAAAGCTTTGGCCGTAGAACTCAGCACATGAATAATTCAGTTTTCATATCTTCATCATCATTCCACAAACGAGTTAGTCGCGTGCCTCGTTCGCAATCTATTGTCCAGATATAAAAACATGATAGCTAGAATGATAATAATAAGTTGTATCTGCGTCTATCGAAGCGAAGCCCGCAACGTCAGTTTGTTCAGTGACGAAGACAGGCAAGACTGCGAGGATGCACGCCGGGAGTTCTTGACGCCGACGGACAGAGTTATGCTGAACCGAAAGATCGACTCTGTCCGAGCGACTTTGTTTGAGGCAGACATGGTGCTGACAGTGTCGCAGCAGGCCCGCTGGTCCAAGACCGGGTATCGCAGCAACAATACGTGGCCGCTCATCGAGGAGAAGTGGCCGGCGAACACAATAGGCTACCAGTTCGGCGACCCGTCGCCCGACAAACAGATGGTGCTCGACGCCATGGAGGCGTGGTCCACGAAAACGTGCATCAAGTTCGCCGAGGGCATCGGGAACGTGCTGAACATCGTCCAAGGCGAGGGGTGCTACACGCACGTGGGGTACCACTCCACTCGCCTGGTGATGTCTGTGTCAGAGGTGTGCGACAGGGGCACCGTGGTGCACCTGCTCGGCCACGTGATCGGCCTGGTGCACCAGCACTCGCGGCCCGACCGCGAGCAGTTCGTGTCCGTGCAGTACCACAACACGGCCCTGGAGGACGTGTTCTACTTCAACTACCGCGGCTACGACGACTGCCCCTACGACTACGGCTCCGTCATGCAGTTCGACGCGTACGGGCTCAGCTACAACGGCGAGAGCGTGTTCCTGGGCAAGACACAGAACGGCACGGACGAGGACGGCCTGGTGCTGTCGTCCATCCTCGGCACCGACTGGAGCACGCCCTCCGACAGCGACGCGGCGCTCGTCAACCGCGAGTACGGCTGTCCGCTGAAGGCGTGCAGCGAGTCGCAGCCGAAGCCGGCCGAGTGCAACCAGCACGTGGTGGCCGGCGACCCGCACTTCAACCGCGTCGTCACCTTCCAGAGCATGATGACGCAGCGCGAGGCGGCCATCTCCTGCGTCTGGAAGACGGAGGTGCCCGACTCGCTGGCCTGTACGCGCGCGGCCATCGCCGTCACCCTGTCCAGGAAGCCCGACACGGAGCTGCGCCGCGTCTGGTTCGTCAGCGGCTGCCGGCTCTTCCACGTGGAGATCTTCGACCCGGACTCGAGCATCAGCTACTTCTACTGCGCGGCGCAGTTCGCGCGCAAGCCGACCAAGGTGTTTGTGTCGCAGGCGCGCCGGATCTACGGGATGGTGCGCCTGTACCCGGCAGATTGGCACGGCTTCCAGGAGGCTGCACTCGGCACCGGCAGCGTGCGCTTCTTTAACATCCGGGACTTTGTGTGCGAGGGGGAGACAGGAGCAAAGTGCATGTAACCAAGTGTTGAGTCCAAGTGTCCGGAGTGTGAGGAGTGCGAGTAGATATGAAAACGTGTGACAGTGCATGGCTGAGCTTTTGGAAGACGAGCTTGCCTTCGATGCTAATGATAGCTCATGCCCAGGTACACAAAAACATGTGAGGCGAAGAAGCACACCCGCAGAACACGTGCCGTATCATGCTATGTAGATTGCAGGCTATCACGCTGTTATGCGAATTTATCTCGCTAGTGTTATGACAATATGTAGTTATGTAATGTCGTTTCTTGTGCATTGACAATGGATCACCAGGGGATTGTGTCCCGACTACGTTCTTGGAAGAAGTGTGAGCTCGAAGTTCAAGAGTTTGCCAAGTGATTGTGTTACCGACAATATATGTAGAAATTATGCTAATCACAAGCTGCTTTGCAAAGCCTACGTAAAGCAACCTATAATTTTCTGAACATGAAAGCTAAGTAATGTCGCATATTGTTTCAAGTTTACTATTGTTATGCCCATAACGGCAATAGACTGTTTCGATTTGATCGATCATCGAAGATTCGAAGAGTTGATCGATAAACGTTTCTCTGCACAGCGCAGACGGCCGGCGTCGGCGTTTCCCTTTCATTCCCAGTCGTATACGGTGACCGAGCGCCGATCGAGCCCGCCCGTCAGTGCGTAACCACTGGCCGTCAATAAAAACCCGCCGGACCGTATACCGCAGTGGAGTGGTTTTACAGTGGGTCATGTATGGTGAAACGGAGCGGCCGCGCCGGCCGCCCAGCTGGTCACTACACTGAGCCAGTGGCGACCGTGAGCGCGGCATGAGATCCAGCGCCGCCTGTTCATGCTGATTTCATTGGTGGAAGAAGCAACGGATACGGTTTTTATCCATTCAGAGGAGGACGCTCAAATTCACATTTCACAATAGAAAAGAACATGTTAAACGAGCACGTTACGATTAACATGCCAGTTGACATTGGTTATGGCACTGCAGTCGGCAGTGCTTGATTGAAGCCTTTCGGAACGCATCGAATCGCCTGTCTTCTTCGTTTCCACTTTCCTCCACCACCCATGACCACTTACTTATGCGAGTGCCGGTCGCTATCGCCTCCATCGGACGTCCCTTCCCTTCTTCACGCCCTATAGCCTCCCGTGTCGTCCCGTCGCGACTGCGTTCCAGTGTGATTGGCCAACTCCGGCTGTCGGCTCACCGACTGGTCGGCAGGTCAGCCCCGCAGGTCAGTTGCTGCCTGTCGGCCGGGTGAAGTGAAGGGCCAACGAGCTTAGTGAAACGTCTGGAGTGTGGGATAAGAGACTGTCGGATAGACTTTCAGAGACTGTTGGTGTCGTTCAGCGACGTTCAGAGATTTTTAGACGTGGACAAGAGTGGATTGAGAGCGTCAGCGCTGGCCATGACGGAGATAACGTAGCACCGAGACAGTGAAGAGACAGAAGAGAGTGTCGAAACGGTTTGAGGCAGTGACGATATGTGTGTGGACTGTGAATAGTGGATAGTGACTAGACAGTGGCTAACTTGCGTCAAGACCGGGCCAAATCAGTGTCGTGACAGTGATTGCTTTTTACAAATAACTACGGCACCAAGAGACGCGGTAATGTCTGGGCATCGTGCATTGCTGCACACGACAGTCGGTGTAGCTCCTGCAGTGCTGAAGCCCGTCTTACAAAAACGCCGTTAGCGGGTCCCAGATCACTTCAGTCTTCAGCTGAAGTAGGTATGGGAAGCTATTTCGTCAAAATCATCATCAGAATAGCGAAATGGATTGTAAAGAAGTTACTGGTGATCGCTTTGTTTGTGCCGGTCGAGAATCCAAACCACATCATCTACGACAAGCAACTGTTAGAGGAGTACGACTTTATCGTAGGTAAGGACGGCCTTCGATTGGAAGAAACTTTGGTGTAAAAAGTGAGATGGTGAGCAGTGAGCACCAAACATAATTGCACGAGTCGCAGCCTGTGCGCTGCTATTCTAACTATGATACCTTTAATGACGAACTGAGTTACATTTTACAACGGGTGTACTGTCACATATCGTTTAATACCTGCCATCAGCTACATCGAGCTGTGACCTGTCACCTGTGACCTGCGACCTGACCCCCGCGACCTGACCCTCGCGCCCTGTCCCCAGTGGGCAGCGGCGCCGGCGGCTCGCCGCTGGCCTCCCGCCTTTCGGAGGATCACCACCACTCTGTCCTGCTGCTGGAAGCCGGGGGCGCCGGCTCCGGATTCGCTGACTGGCCCCTCTTCACGACACTCATCTATAACGTTAGGAAGTACGACTGGACCTTCCACAACGTCCGAGACGAGGGCTACTGCATCGGATACAAGAAACAGGTGAATAACGTAGGAGCCCCGAGAAGCTGCAACTTTTGATAATGATTTTTCATATCTTATCTAAAAAAACGTTAACAATTAAGCATATTCTAACGGGCAAACACACGTAAAGCTATTTGGTGGCTCCAACGATAACATCATACCGCAAATATGTCCTTACATAACCAGCACACTGATTTGAAAACGGTTGCACGCTTATCATTATCTCATTTTTGTTGATTAGCTTTATGTGTGTAAACGCACAATTTGTATTTAATTCGTTTTTGTAATGACTTGAACATTATCCTGTAATCGTTCTTCAAAACACTACATAAGCCACGTTCATCCCTCTCTCACTAGCAATGCACGCTGAACCGCGGTAAGATGCTGGGCGGCAGCACGGGCATCAACGGCATGATGTACGTTCGAGGCAACAAGAACGACTACGACCAGTGGGAGCGGCTGGGAAACCCCGGCTGGGGCTTCCGGGACGTCCTGCCCTACTTCATACGCTCCGAGGACAACCAGGACCCGTACCTCCGCCAGAGCCGTGAGAGAAAGCAGGGACGGACCCAGAAATTTCTTCGGCATATTTTTTTCAGCTATGGACTTTAGCACCCAAAGCCGCTTCCCTGGGCCCAGTCTTACCAAATGCCGTGAATGCGCATTCACGGCATTTGGTAACATTCAAAACTATTCCACATTCACTTATTCATTCGTTCAGGTAACATTCATAATCATTTACGCTATCAAAATCATTGGACAAGATTAGCAAGATGCAAATAAAAAGGATATATTTGATATATGTGCCGTAAACTCCGGCCAGTGCTGCCAAATCCTATTTACGGCATTGGTAAGATTAGGCCCTGGATCCGCCCCCCCCCCCCCCCCGGGAGAAGGCCGGAAAACGGCTGAAAGTGGCGAAAAGATTTCAAGTTTGTCGCGACTCGTTTCACTATTACCAATTCTCTACGCGAGATATAAATTAGCCGTCACAACACAGTAATGCTAAACAGTGGTGATGACAAACGGCTAAAGCAAGCCGTCAGCTGTATCATGTAGTTTTGGGAATTTTTCCTTAATGAAATGAGCACACAAATTTATAATAATTTTTTCATAGCATTATATCACTGACTAGCCTTGCTATACGTTTGTCTCGTATTTTGACGCTGTTCGGACGGTTAGACCGGCCCATTTCTGCTTCCCCCAGCCTACCATGGCGTGGGCGGGTACCTGCCCGTCTCCTCCGCCCGCTACCTGTCCGGCCTGGCCGGAATTTGGATACAGGCCGCCCGACACCTGGGCTTCGAGATCGGCGACATCAACGGCGACCGTCAGATCAGTGAGTGGCGTGCAGGAGCTGCTCTGCAGTGGCAGGTGTAGACATCGACTGTGCACGCGTTAGATGTAATCGGGGTTGTGAGGGTACTATTTTAGGGGATCTACCAGTCTAGTTCCGACACAATGTCTCGTGAAATCAGAGATGTTTAACGTATTGATCGTCTACCACTTTGTTTAATCATTCAGATTAAATATGTTTTTCACCTCAGTCACTTTTGAACGAGGAGATGGCTTTTTATATCAGGCATCTCGATATTAATGTCGCCTTTACAAATAAATAATAAACGGTCGTACAGCCCATCTGGCATCCCTCTGACCTCATCTGCACTCTCCGCAGGGTTTATGAACAGCCAGTCGACCACCAAGCTCGGCGAGCGGTGGTCGGCGGCGCGCGCCTTCCTGCGGGCGGCCTCGCGCCGACCCAACCTCAACATCCTGATCCACAGCCACGTGACACGCGTCATCATCGACCCGGTCAGCCGGCGGGCGCGCGGTGTCGTCTTCTACAAGAACCGACGGCGTCACGTGGTCTGGGCGCGCAAAGAGGTCATCCTCAGCGCCGGCGCGTTCGCGTCGCCGCAGCTGCTCAAACTGTCCGGCGTCGGGCCCTGCGCGGAACTGCGGAAACACGGGGTAGGTGGCGGCGACCATGGAGCTGGGTGAATGCAAGGTGATTGTTCGTAGTTGTGAATGGAAATCCTATTGAGCTGCTCCTTTTGTTTTCTATGGAGCTGCTAGACAATGTTGACGAACTGCCTGCAGATCCCTTGCATTCACGACCTGCCCGGAGTCGGTGAGAACATGCAGAGCCACTTCGGCATCGGAGGAATCGACTTCCTAACTAAGAAAAAGCCCGGCCTGACGCTGGCACATTTCATCAACCTGAAATCGCTGCACAATTATGTGAAGCACAGAACTGGTAAGTGCAGAGGATGTTGTAATCGTACGCGCGTAGATATTGAATCAGGTCAAATAACACATGACAAGTCTGAACCTCGGGTATCTATTTACCTCCATGAGCATGACCAAAGCGACACAAGTGCATGTTTCGTCACCCGTTTGAAACACCTCTAAGCCTCGGCCACCCGCTGCCGCTTCTGCAGGTCCTCTGGCGTCGTACCTGCTGCTGGAAGGCACCGGGTTCGCGCACTCGGGCGTGGACAACACGTCCGTCAGCTCAGACTGGCCGGACCTGCAGTTTCTGTTCTACCCGCTCCACCTGGCCACCGACGGCGGCCTCCTCTTCAGGATCATCCTCGGCATGTCGGAAAAGGTGCTGGAGACAGTTCGGTGTAGCCTGCAGAGCCCGCGTGAAATCGAATGCGCCATTAAACTATTTCAGGGCTTAGACAGTTTTGAGATGCTTTGCAAAACATTACTTGCCAATAGCTACGTTGCTATCGAGTTTTTTCTTTCAAATGACATTTTTACAGAGAAGCGGGATGTGTGAAGGTGAACTTCAGAGGCGTCAGTAAACCTTATTTACGTTATCCCTTCAGCTATGGATAAAGCGGTTCAAGCCAGCCAAGTTCAAGCCGGGTTACCGGATTGTTCCGGTGATGCTGCACCCGCGGAGCCGCGGCCGGGTGGTGCTGCGCTCGCGGAACCCCTGGCAGCACCCGGACATCTTCCTGAACCTGTTCGACGACCCGCGCGACCTGGCCGTGCTGCGCGAGGGCGGTCGGCTGGCCGAGCGGCTCGGTCTATCCGCTCCGTTCCGCCGAGTGGGCGGCCGCCTGCAGCCGGCCCCCAACCCCTACTGCCACCTGCACCCGCGCGGCGGGCCCGACTGGTGGGACTGCTCCATCCGCGTGTTCGCGGAGACCATCTGGCACGAGACGAGCACGTGCGCCATGGGGCCGGCCTCCGACCCGGCCGCCGTGGTGGACAACCAGCTGAGGTGAGGGCACCGATCCGCTGGGGAAGCCCGGACTCCCTATCGGTTAACTGTTATACTGCAGATGTCCAGTTTGTTATTATCTACCAGGCCGAGTGAGCATATTCCCTGGTGAGCTGTGCTCGCAACCTTGCCCTGTCTGTCCACAGGGTGTACGGGATCTCTGGCCTGCGCGTGGTGGATGCCTCCGTGATGCCGCGCATCACCTCCGGCAACACCATGGCGCCGACCATCATGATCGGGGAGAAGGCGGCCGACCTGATCCGCGCCCACTGGCACGCGGTCAGCCTTGGCCGGGACCCGGAGCACTTTGTGGAGAGTTACGCGCTCCATCCGCACCGGCACGGCCTCTACACACCGCAGGGCGCGCACCTAGACACGGAGGAGGTCCTCGCAGACGACTGGTGGGAGCGGAAAGGCAGCTTCGAGACAGTGCAGCAGGAGGCCGCTGTATCAGAAACGTCATGGGATGTATATGGTCCATCAGAAATGTCCCAGGATAAGAACATACCCTCAGCAGTTACTTTAGAACAGGAAGGTGCCTTCACAGCAGCGACTCTGGAGCAGGAGGGTGCTCTGTCAGATTTGTCTCAGGAAAATGCCTTCTCAGCAGCACACCCGAAGCAGGAGGAAGCTCCCTCAGGAGCAGCCTTAGGACAGGAGGTCGATCCATCAACGACCTTCACCAATCAGGAGGCTGTTCTTCTGGCGGCGTCTCAGGATCAAGAGGACGCTCTTCCAGCGGTACCTCAAGAGCAGGGTGGCACTCATCTAAGTGCGGAGATGGTGTCTGGAGAGGAACGCCAACAGCAGCTACAGCCACAGCAGCAGCTACAGAAGCTAGACTGGCTGCACGGTCAGCCATACGATCATCTTTCAGAGAACCCACCGGACGAGGACCAGGATGAGCAGAAGCTGAGGCAGATTGAGCGACTGCTGCAGCTGGACGTGAGAGAGGAAGATGTACGACAAACCGAGTTTGGGCGACTGGGTGCGGTCATAGACCGGCTTCACCAGCGACTGGAGGCACTGCAAGGGTAGGGCTGTGTTGGTCCACCAGAGATTAGACGCGCGGCAGACAAACGATAAGGGTGATCAGACCAGAACGAGCAGCCGAAATGCATATTGTAAAACGGTGCCCGAAAATTGTGACTTTATTCGCATCCGAAAGTGTCCATCCAGTGGCAACCAATCGCGCTGCGGCCCGGGTGCACCCGCATTTGTGGTATAGTATAGTGGAATCGATATATCTATTATCTAAATGATCATGACTTATGAATGAATAATACATATAACTGCGGCGCCCAGATACGCCAATTATTACGTAAATTGTCTCATTTAGGTACCTTGTTAGCCAAAAATATCTCTTTATATTATCCGCAAATGTTCTAAAAGACTTCTGACATTTCTAATCACTTTATTTATTGACAAACAAGTCGAACTTTCAAGTATTCATTCACCTACCAAGCCGTAACATTCATCCACCAAGCCGCAACTGCACTGTCGTATATCACTCAGTGGCGCTCATTCTACCCCCTAATATACCTAGGTGAGATAAGCATTATGCAATCACGTATTATGTTCATCTAAGTACGAACATTTATGTCCACTCATGTCTTCATTAGCACTGCTTGAAGCTGTCATATTCCTAGAACATGTCGGCACTTCATGGTCATCAATATCTTAGACAAATATCGTAACAATCGGGTTGTCAATACTCCTGTTGTAAGGGGCAGATTCATCAGAGTCAGACTGAACATTTGATATCCACGATATAAATGTGAGATACAAAATAACAAAAGGCAGTTTACATTAGACAATATCGTATAACCGCAGACGCATAAATAGCCGCCCGTGGTTATAACCAAGGCTCTAAAGTTATAACTTAACCATATACTGCCGACTGCGAGCAAACCAAATTGCAGATAATTATCTCGATTGTGATTTGGATCAGCACACCAAACACAAAAGGCGATGATAGCCTTACCGCCAGCTTCACAATCACACAGTATGTGCCAAAGTCCCTTAGGTGAAACACTTTTTTACCCTTCATATGTTAAAGGTTACTATTTAGCTGAAAAACAAAGTTAATTAGGATATAGCGTATGAAATACAGAACATCATTTAGAAAAAGGGTGAGAGTAAAAGAGATAAAAACAATCTAAAGTAAAAGTAGGCAACGAAAGAGGGATATGCAAAGTATGTGACACCAATACTTGAAAAAACGATTGTTACGTTCTCTAGCAATACGAACAAGTCGTAGTGCGTTACACGGCTGCCGTCGATATTCGTACGACCATGCATAAATATTGCATAAGCCGGCTCACCATATCTCTGGTCGCCAAGTGCCTAAGGAGCGCAATAAAACTGTCAGCCTCGGCAGCACAAGCACGGCGCTATAACAAAGTATACAGAAACGGTCAGCCGAGACTTCTTTGGTCACAAGCCCTTCAGCATTGAAGCAAGTTCCGACAAATCAAAATCAGTTCTAGTCCATGGCTCTAGGCCACTTATTGGCACGTCGGGCCTCTTCAGCAGCGGCCGAATTAATAACAGGCCGATGGTTTCGAGCCCTCGGCACACGGTTACCGCTCGCAGGTCACTAAGGTCCGTGACGAAACGTGACGTTACTCCAAACAACGACAGGCACACCCAATCCTCAGTAGTCACAGGTGATCACAGGCTCGCCAGGAGGCTCCGGCGCCCGGTGCTTCTTAGACGAACGTTTCTGAAACAAAACGCACCGTTTAAAATCAAAGCTGCCATAAGATATGTACCTACTTATGAGTTGTAACATTTATAACTTCGCTGGTAAGAATCACAGCAATTATCGACTTTGTAGTGGGGTCCTATTTCAAGTGTGCATTTTGCGAAAACAAACTTCAAGCTTCCGGTATTAGCCAAAATTATGATAAATTATGCTGCTGTATTATGCCCGACTTTCTGCCAGGCTCAGACTATTACGGATGTGCTTTGGGAGTTGTGCTGTTGTTCAAAATACATAGACTGTGTCAGAAGAAAGCTGCTGGATTAATCGCGTAATTTGGCCACTCGGTTCGTGCGGACGTACCTTGAGCTTTTTCTCCTCCTTTCTTTGTTTCTTTTCTTCCTTGCTGCGTTTCTTCTTTTTATCGCCGTCGGCCACCTCGGCAGGATGTTCTGTGAAATGATTAAAGCTTAATTAGGTACTATAAATATACCGATCATGTGGTAAACAGAACATTAAGATAAACTGCAGCTAAGACAGTTTTTTGTAGCTTAGAATGCGTAAGCGTCCCCTCGATGATAAAACTGGATAAAACTACTATGCCCAGCGACATCCGGCGACGGCCTGCACCTGGCACGGGATGGATGAACTCGTCCTCCCCGAGGAAGTTGACCTTCTTCTTGTGTTTGGTGGTGCGCTGCGGCACGGCGGGCGGCGCCGTAAGCTCCGGGTCGGTCAGCACGCTCCAGCGGCGCGGCGGACTGTGCCGGTCCATCGAGTAGAGGTCGTCGCTGGACCGGGAGCCGCGGCGGCCGCCGGCCATAGCCGGCCGCGCCAGGGCTCCGTCCAGCTCCCCGCTGAGACGATGCCGCCAGCCGGACTCCGGCTCCTGCCGGCGGGAGCCGAGCTCCGGCTGCCGCCAGCGGCTCCTGCCGGCCGGCTCCGGCTCCGGCTCCTGGCGCGGCTCCCGGTCGGCCTGCGAGGCGCTCCAGGACTTGGTCAGGCCGCCGGGCCGGGGGGCGGGAGCGCGCCGCGCCGGCAGGTCTAGCCGCTGGGGGTTCTTCTCACAGCGCAGCTGATGGACCGAGAGGGCGGAGTCAACATCAACGTCATGCCATTTTCCTATGTTGTTTTCATTTTGAAGTGTGTTATATTTAGCTCAAAGTGAAAGCATTAATTACTTATTTCAATTTTGGTTGTTATAACCGCTGAAATGCAGATATGTGACGCAAATAAGCAATCAAAATTGAAGTACAACATTCGATATATCACTCAGCTTGCGATTGGCCCTACTAAAATGCTCCGTAATGAACGTTCCAACTAGCGTGTGAAGCGAAAAACTGTCGAGCCACGTAAGCCCTGCTATTGGCGAACGAAATTGGTCTGCAGCTCTAACATTTTGTGTGATAAAACAGCGAACCTCACACAACAGCAGTTCGGGTTTCAAAAGAAAACATTCACGGAGACTAGTGTTTGTCTTTTGATCAGACGGTTCCTGGTTGCCAGCGAATCAGTTGTATTTCCAGGAACCGGAGTAGGCACGTAGCTATGTCCGTTTTATCCCGGTAGTTTCTGTTCTGTGGGGTCGTTTCTATGGTAACCCGTTTAGTCAGATGAGGCCCATCTACTGTAAAACTACCTATCCAGCTGAGAAAACCGCCATCAGGTGAATGACGTTTTCACACCGCCGTACCCCACCTGTGTTGACTGCAGGCTGAGATAATTCAAACAGCTGATTCAGCCCAGACTGGTAAACATCAATCACTCCACGACACGCTATGATTCACTTCACGAATTCCTAAACCTGACGTGAGTGTTCACATGCATATATCGTTCGGCTTCCCGTCTCCACGGGTGTGGTCCGGGATCAGCCCGTGCAGCGCCGAGACGCTAATTTTACCCCGCGCGGCCCGGGACCGTGTTTGGACCCTTTGACGTCATCCGCCTTGGCTGACGTCTCGGCACCGGTTCCGCTATCATTAAAGCGCCGCGATACGGCCCCGGGCACGCCCACACACGACCATGTTTCTCGCTTGATCGGTATATATCGCGAAAAAGTTGCGATAGAGATTTACATCTTTGGTAATTAAGAAAATGGAAAAGTACTAGGGTTACCCGCGTGCTCCGCAACGCGAAGAAGGGTTATTTTTGACCCGTGGGTATTGGGTTGGTCTTAGACGATTTGGCTGGTATCCATTTCGTTCAATTGCTTTTTGACGGCCAAGCATTTTGTAATAAAAAAGATACATCGCATCCAGGTGCCCGTGTCATATCATGCGTTCTACTTTAGAATGATTCAAAAACTGGCGTGAAGTCTTTTGAGGGCCATCGATGAATTTCGCTAAAAATGACAATGTAATAGTTTGGAACATTTCCATTTTTTAGAATGCTGTTGCTCATCATGCAAAAATGAAGATTGAACCTTGGACAGAATTGAATGCTCTTTCCAGCTGCACCGTTTTCAACTGCCAAACGTATCAGGTTATGCAGCAAAACCCGTGTGAATAATAAAGTGGCACATCATCGACAAACGCCATTTTCTCCAGCGATTTGTACATACCACCTTGGCGTCGATCTATTAGCTATTCACAATTTTCCCATGAGAGGCGGTACATTTCTCTTGCCAACAGGCGTTGTTCCAACTCGCTCCGTTTAAAGGTAGTGTGCCACCTTTGAAAGATTTCCCATTTTATTTTTCCTAGGATAAGAAGCTTCTATTTTTACCTAATATCGCAAAAAAAATCAAAAATGGGCCTGGAATAGTGCCCTTTTCGCCTAAAAGTTTATCGGTTTTTAGATATGTATAACAACTGTAGTGGGCTCACCTGCAAACAGGCGTCGGCAACAATCGCGAATGCGGCGCACATGTGACAATAAGCAAAGGTCATTATAGTGTTACGACCATACGACGTACGGGAATGAGTTATCAGCTGTCTAATCGTAGACAACACAATGTCGAGCCTTAAACTGTAAGCCTGTATTGGTATTGTTTCTTTTATTTGGCTGTCGAACATTATTTATGGTTTGAAATATGATTTTATGTAAAATAATTGATATGAAAAAGCCGTCTCATAAGTTATGACCCCATTTCACCACACGCAAGTGGCAGAAATGACAATGATCAGCTGACGCATTTTTCTTGGCCGAAGTCAGAGCGCGCAGCCCGACGCACCACCACCGCACCACAAAGTATGAGCAGAAGCCGCGCCCAAAGCCAGGGCCCCGGTAACGTGAGGTAGCCGAGTCGGGGCAGCGTGCGCTGACCCAAGCCGGGGCCGCAGCTTTGGGCGCGGTCTACCGCATCCCCGCGGGCAGCCCCGGGCTATCACATGACACCGGGAGGACGCGCGGCTCCGGCTTGGGTCAGCGCACGCTGCCCTGACTCGGCTACCTCACGTTACCGGGGCCCTGGCTTTGGGCGCAGTCTACCGCACCACCTAACAGGCGTGTTCGAAACCGCAGGAGCTGATGATGAACGGGTTTATCGAAACTTGATTGGATGAGCATATCGGTAATAGCGATTTCAGTGTGTGCATTTATTGTTCATAGTGGTGTGAAATGTGGTTGGGGTACGACCGACAACCCGTCGGGGCGAATTTCGCACTGGGGTACTC